ATTGATTCATTAGCTGATTCATTAATCAATTTTGGAAGTCCTTTTGACAGTTGTGAATGGGGAGCGTACATGATTTTATCTATCCTTTTAGGGTCCTTTTTCCTTTTGGCCTTTTCTCTTTGGCCATTGCAGGCAAAAGTCCGCAAAGTTGCTGGACAAATGTCATCCCACGAATCACCACTCACTCCACAACATTATTTACTACTATATTACTTCTTTCAATCAGCACATCTGTTAGCACTAATTAGCTATCCATGCATCAAATCAAACGTTAAAAATCTGCATTCAATTCGGTCACTGTATTATTATTATTATTATTATTATTATTATTATATGTTTTTTAACCCTTCTTGCAATAAAGTCATTGTATTATTGTTGTGGATGAATCTCTTTTTTTGCTTTTCTAATAATTAGTGGCTAATGTCATATGCCAAATACAGGTAGAAAATCATGCAGCTTTTCGTGTGGGTCCGGGACGGTTATCCAATACTGGATCCAAATGGGCTTGCAAAGGAGTACCTGCCATCCTAAAAAATAGCTTTTCTTTTTGTTTTATATATATATATATATATATATACATGAAAATATTATATCTACAATACATTTCATTTTTTTAGAAAAAAAGAGAGCTTGCTGGTATAATCCTGTATTCCAAAATCCTCTAAAATCACTTAAATGTTGGGCACAAAGATAATAATATACAAGAAAACAAATCATTTACTAATTAATTTTTTTAACGCTGTTCAAGAAGCATTATTATCAACACATCTAAATTTTACTGAACTTATTATGTATATACACGTACTACAATTATTATTCTCTCTTACATTTATATATTTTTTCTATTTAATTTTGTCTACACTTTTTTGTATTTATTTAATTTTTCTAATTAATCTTGTATTTAGAAAAATATAGCACTTGAAGTATATGCCAGTCAAACACTCTGATGGGCTGTTTGCTAATTACTTGCTTAACATACCGTAAGATACTTAGCTTCATTAACTTCACTTCTCTTCCGTTCTTATTAAATGATCCCATATCTCCATAGATTATACTAAATTTGAAGTGGTTAGAGTATTGGTCATGTAATTTTCAACATTTGGAAATAATTTACTTGCTTCGTTTAAAAAAAAAAAAAAGCTCCCCTTTTCAAGGCGTTTCTTACACATATTTATAACAATTCAACTGCAATTCAACTCACAACGCTAGTCGTTGACTTTCATTTGCTTCTATGCCATTCTAATCTTACATAAAAGAAAGGATAATTTCATCAACACATCATTGAAAAATGAAACAGCACGAGCGTTGACATGATCTTGTAACTATTTATGTGACCTTGTTTAGCATTTCATTGTAATTTTGGTTCCATTAATAATCTCTTAGTGGATAATAAGAGGGCAGAAACGTCATTACAGCCACGATAAGAGCAGGTAAATTTAGCTGTGAGGTGAGGTCATCATTTTTTTTTTCTTTCCCGGTTCGGGATTCACCAGCCCATCATATGAATCGCCAGGCTCTACTCCATCCAGTAATAAATGAAGCCCAGATGTCCATGTTGGTTTGATGGACACGTGTTGGAATCAGGTTGTACAGAACGCCACGTCCAACCATTTCCAGCTGGCACTGCAACTCACGCGATAACCGTTTCTCTGCGAACCCTTTTAGGTTCTGTGGGGCCCCACCACATCCACGAGATGGAATGGAGGGGAGCTGTTATTACCTGTAGACGACCTCACACTCCATCCTGTGAGCTGTCCCTGCCTGATTGAGATTTGAGAGAGACCCATGCCCCACCGTGAATGGGCCCCCTCCGCTGAGTTTCTACGGTGGAATGTGATTGTAGGCCCGAAATTGGGCCAAGGATTAAACCTGGGTCGCTGAGCTACCCAGCTTGCTAACATGGCCTGTTACATGATTACTGTTTTTTTGTTTGAATGGACCAATACGAAATACTATCGAATATTTTTTCATCTTACCAAGTATTTATTTATTGGTTAGATGGAGGCTATAAAAACCAAAATCTATGAAGAAATAACACGACGATGAGTCAATCCCATATAATCCGAGGGTTGTAAAGCCCAAATTTCGTCAGGAGGATCCGATGATGATTTGAGTCCGGATGGCATGCTCAAACTCATCTACGCAAGAACATCGGCACAAGAATCTCCTTCTATCAAAAAGTGATTTAGTGCATATTTCCAATCACAACTAAGATTATCAATTCAGCACTTAATTTTAAAGGAATCAGATCTTAATATATTCAAATCTTTTGATAATCACAAATCGAATATCTGAATTAATTAAAAGACACTGAATATTTTGAACAAAACTTACTCTAAAAATTAAGTGATAAATTATTCACTTATCACTGAATGTAACATACACTCAAATATATTAGCTTAAATACTTAATAATTCAATTAATTTAATGAATTTAAATTTTAAATTTTAAATTTCAAACTTTAATTTTCAGATTCCAGTTTTATCCAAGGCACCCTTAAGTAACTCAAGAATACTTCAGAAGATCTTTTGACGCTTCTCCAATCTTTTCATTTGCCTCTGGACGTTGATTAAAGTCTAGGAAAGTTCTATTATTGTGTTTGATTGAGGGATGCTAGTCAGTGGTTGGCATCTTTCTTTATTTAGCGTATGGAAAACAAACAAGTGTAGAGCGACAAAAGGGTTAAAATTATGTATTTATCACCCAGTTTTTTTTATTATTTTTTTTAACCATCATCCTTAATATGCTTAGTGAGGCTACAATCAATCCATATATGGTAGTTAGTGGTACAAAAAAAGAATATGCTGACTCCATTATTTGTTTTACGTACTTTAATTTTATTTAAACTTTATTGCACGCATAATTTGATGGATAATTTAGATACATTCAACTTGCTCTACGCCGATTCCTTAACAAGGACACGGGTAAACTGAAGCCGAAAACATGAAGACTCGTCAAGCTCTGGCATTTTTGTGTTGGACGGTTTTATCCCGAATTGGTTGCCTTTGAAAATAATAGTTTCAAATTACCTATAACATATTCTAAACTTTTTCAATACAAACTCTTACACTTTTTCGCTCCAAAGAACCCGCAGAAAAAAAATGAAAATCTATTAATCATTATGCTTTAGCTTCCTATCTCAAAATGCGAAACAAAAAAAAAACTTGTAATTTATTTGGTTATCTTCACACTGGAAAGGTTTCAAAACAAAAATTTTCATGTCCTAAAATATATTATTCATCTCCGTCCAAAAATTTAATCCTTATTTAGATTATAATTTTTATAAAATAGTGAAAAATATATTCTTTAACATAAATTTTAATCATTCTTTAATTTTATGTGCATCAAATCGTTACTACACATAGTGAGTGTGTTTGGATCAGAATTTATTTGAAATAATTATTGTAACACTTTTTATAATGTGATATATGTGACATGAAAAGATAATTGAAAAGATAAAAGATTATATTAAAATTTGTTAAACAAATTATTTTTTTTCAAATCATCCCAATCCAAAACGCAGCGGGTGTGTTTGGACAAATTTCAATCACCTTTTTATCTTCTCAATCACATTTTTATTTCTCATACATCACGTCACAAACATGCTACAGTAATTACCTCAAACAAACTCTCTCTATTTCCTTTATTAACCATATAGACTAAGGGCGGAGCCACGGGATCCACGTCGGACGTGGTCGTCCTCCGCGTGGCGGCTGGGGATTCGTTCGTTTGGTTGATGCTGGCGTGGAGCGGATGCGTTCTTCATTTTTTCCCCCGCACTGTTTTCTTCTTTTCTTTCTTTCTTTCTGCTGAGTGGGAGGCTGGCTGGGGTCGTCGGTCACCTCTCTGCCGCTTCGTCAGTGTCCTCTGTACCAGCTACACCAACTCCAAGCTTTTCCTCCTTGTGCACTCTTCTTTGCAGCTCAAGTTTTACCCTCAAGTTTTACCCTCAACTCAAGTTTCTCCTTGTAAGACCCGTCTTTCGTTGGTCCTGTTTGCCTGCATCCGTTAGGTTGGCCCCGTCAGCTGCCTCTCTGCTCGCCGAGCCAGCTCGTCTCTACCGGCTCCATCTTGCTCCTCGCCTTCTTTTGCTTTCTTCGTCGACCACAGATTCTGTTTTGTTTCATTCCTCAGCACTGTTTTCTTCTTTTCTTTCTGCTCAGTGGGCGGCTGGCTGAGGTCGTCGGTCACCTCTCTGCCACTTCGTTAGTTTCCTCTGTACCAACTCCACCCACTCGAAGCTTTTCCTCCTTCTGCACTCTTCTTTGCAGTCCAACTTTTACCCTCAATTTCACCCTCCTCTCTGCTGTTGTGCTTCCTCCGCATTTTCACCCTCACCTTGCTGTTCATTTTATGCCCTTATACGTCTTCCACCTTGTGAGACCCGTCTTTCGTTGGTCCTGTTTGCCTGCATCCGTTAGCTTGGCCCCGTCAAGTGCCTCTCTGCTCGCTGAGCCAGTTCGTCTCTGCCGGCTCCATCTTCCTTCTGGCTACATCAACCACCTCCACTTCTCCATTTTTTTCTTCTTTGAAAGCCTACCTTTTTATTTCTTTTTTTTCCCTTTCTTCTTTCTTCCTTTACCCACGGGACCAAAACAGAAAAATGCAGATGATTCCTTTGTCTCACATCTTGGTTGGAAAGTGTTCGTCCAACTTGTTTTCATTTTTCCTCTTTCATTGTTTCTCTGTTTTTCCTTCTAACTGACTAACTGATAACGTCTAATTTTAATTCTATTCTAACAAGACCTAGACTCCTAAACTAAGCCCTAGGGTTTTTGACGTCGTGCCGTCGTTTCTCCAAACCCCTCAGGCAAGGTAAGGCGGCTCTTCACCACCAAGTTATTTCTGTCTTCTCGATGATGATTGTTACTGATACACATATATGCAGATGCTGCATTCTAATTTCCAATCTTTCGTTTGGTTTTGAAAAAATCGACATATCTCTGACATTTTGAGTTCTTTGTGTTGTCATTGATGGATGATTTTTTCTGTTTTGAAGGCTCCAAAGAGAGGTGCGAGGGCTCCAGCTGCAGTGGCGAGGAGGAAAATCGAGAAGGTGGCGAATCCTCTGTTCGAGAAGCGTCCGAAGCAGTTTGGAATTCGAGGAGCCCTCCCACCGAAGAAGGATCTCACCAGGTTCGTCAAATGGCCTCTCAATGTCCGGATCCAGAGGAAGAAGAGGATCCTCAGGCAGTGCTTGAAGGTTCCTCCGGCGCTTAACCAGTTCTCCAAGACTCGACAAAAATCTTGGTCGCCTCTCCCTCACTCGCTTTTTATTTATTATGCTGTTTCCCTTTTTTCTTAATGTTATACGATGATTTTTATCGGGACTCTGAGTTCTTCACCTTGATTGCACCATCTTGACAACCCTGATCTGGTATTTGACTGCTGTAAAGAAAAATCCAGTTATTTTCTTGACATAAATCTGTGCTTTCTCGCACATTGATCACCTATTGCACTTGTAATCATACTTCAAATGCTTACTCATTCTTATTCCCCCCCTTTCTCTCTGATGATTGCGTAGAATAGGATCCCATGGTTGAGCAGGGCAAACGGTGTTGCTGTAACTAAATAGGAAATGAAATCTTTACGTAAATTTAAAAATCATTCTTTTATGGTTCTTAGCCAACTGGATATGCCAGATGTGGTAAATAGAAAGAAATTGAGGTTGCTCGGATCATAATATTTGTACATGGTAACTGTACATTGTCTTCCCCTATAATCTCTTGGATGACTAGAAACTGAGTCGTAATGTGTCGCTCTATCTGTTGTCATGAAATTGGTAAAAGCTAATAATTTGCTGTGGTCGATTCAAGGGAGTCTCTAAATTTGTCCCTATCTTAATAATACCAGTCAAGAAGATATCATGTTTCCTTTCGGGGTTGCCATTTCACTGCTTCATTTTTTCTCTTGCCAATGTATGTATTTTCTGATGCTCCCATTGATATGCAGCAACAAATCTGTTCAAGATGCTTCTCAAGTACAGGCCTGAGGACAAGGCAGCCAAAAAAGAACGTCTTCTCAAGATAGCTCAAGCTGAGACTGAAGGGAAAGCTTCTGATGCTATTGTTTGGCTGTATAGCTCCATCCCAGCTCTCTCTTCCCATCCCTTTCTTCATCTGTGCATGCCTTTTTGATTGGAATTGTGAGATTGCAAGTAAAGGAGTTTTCTGTAACTTTTCTAATAGGAACATTGGCAACCAAATATGAGAAACTTGACGGTAAAGTGAAATGGATGGGCAAGCCTGATAAGGTAATCTAATTCAGCCGGATCTAAATGTTCAGGAGTTCCTCCATTCAATCATCTTTCCACTTGTTTATGTGGATGTTTTTTTTTAATCAATGCAAGCATTTTTGAGATGGCTGCAGCATACATTGGGTTAACTTGAATGCTGAACAATGCTCAGAAGCAGAACAACTGAGTAGATCTGCTTTTGTCTGGAAACGTTTGAACTTATTATATTCTACTCAGAGTGCAAATTATTAGGCCTTTATTAGTTTCTTTACCATTATTTGTACTGATAGCTATTATTACTCAAAAGTTCATTCATGAAATTTTGTTGCATATACTTTTTCAGAAATTTTAAATTAAGCAAGCTGATTAATTTGAACCATAGCAGGATAGTAAGTAATCTGGGTGAATGTCAGAGAATATTTTGGAGTTTTCATTTTTTTATTGACCCTATCGAAGAAGTAGAGAACAACAAAAGTGATGAAGTAGAGGGGTGAGAGCGAGTGAATTAAGGCTATTTCCTTGAATTGTTACCGTGATATATTCTAAATGCATTTACTGCTTTCCCTTCCTCTCTGATTCTCATCTAACCTTGCCTATTAATTAGTTAATGCGTCATGTTTAGTGGTATCACCATGTGAAACATCCTTCCTGACATTAAGAAAATTGAACATGTTATATGACTTGGAAATTGTAGTTTTTCCATAATCTAAGATTTTCACATGGTCTTTGGGGTTTTGATTTGAGACAATTATCAGAGAAATATCATGCAGTGCCAATTTGGTCTCTTTTTTGCTAAAAAAGTTTCATGTTATTCTTTTTAATTGTCAATTTTTCTTTGTGTCTGAATCTGATTTCAAAGTGCTAATCCATGTATGGTCAATTCATGTCAGATCATCTATAAAGCAGCTGTGGAAATGGTTGCTATAGATCCTTCACAGTGTGTTGCCATTGGAGATTCTCTGCACCATGACATAAAAGGTGCAAATGCCACTGGTATCTCATCAGCATTTATCACTGGTGGGATCCATGCGACTGAACTTGGACTTGATACCTTCGGAGAAATTGCTGATGATTCTTCTGTGGTTGCTCTTGCCTTAAGACATGATGCTTATCCATCATATGTGTTGCCTTCATTCAATTGGTAGTCTGACGGTGAGCTTTCTTTTTTCATACAAGAAAATAATGTTTCTGTTGCAAAATGTATCTTGATCCTTTAATTCTAGTGGACTGTCATCTTAAAAGATGGCCAGACGTTGTGCCAAAATGGTATAAATACTGAGTACGTGAATTAGGAATCTTTAGGAAATTTGGGATTATATAATTTTAGGTTACGAGTCCTTGTTTGAAAGGAGACAAGTAATTAGCCCAAATTTGAGCAAGTACCTTTAGTTGGGTACCCAAATAAGCTCCATTAGTTGTTCAAAAATGTTATAGGCTATAATCAACGTTTAAATTTCTTGCTCTGATGTATTCACCCTGTGTTACAACTGCCATGACTATTCTTACATCATTGGCCGAGCTTGCTGTACCTCTGTCTGCGTATATATTATTGACTGGCGTGATTGCGTATCCGTTGATAAAGTGAGATCTTTTTATTCTATTTGCAGGTTTGAGAATAGAGGTTCTACTGATGCCATTGCTAATGTTCCATTTTCTATAGCACCCTTTGTAGCTACGGCGCCAGTTTTTAAGTTACCGTTCAAGGAGCCATCATCGTGCTTTTCATCTTTGTTTTGTTGTGATCAGTTGTCTCAACTATAGCAATGTATGAGAAAGCTGCTTATTTCTTGGTAGCTAATGGGTTCTAGGTTACAAGCAATGGGTGGTAATATAGTTTTAATTTAATGACTGTATGTTCTGGGTGACAGGGTGATCAGCTCATTAGCAGACTTGTCTTTACTAAAAAGTTCAGAAATACAAATTGCTCAATTTCAGAATGCTACTTGCAGACAAGGAAATAATGATGCAAACAAGAGATTTTTTGGTGCAGTCAAGTTATGCATTTCTTCTACTAAGAGTTCGTTTCACTGAATTTCTGCTTGTGAGAAAGAGATGGGAAAAAATTGTCACTTTCTATTTTCTTGTATTTTTTTGTTAACTAATATGCTCCAAGAGATCTAGGATCTTTCAGAACAATTTGAAGTGTCGTTTTATGTATTTGTATGAATTGATTTATTGTGTTTTCATTTGTTTATTTGTTATTGTTAGGGTATAAATGAAGAATTAATAGGCGAATTTGACGGTAAATTTGCAGGTTTGGAGGGAAAGGATACAATAGAGAAAAATGAAAGCTTCCCAGAATATCATACCCAAGGGTTCTCTCTCTCTCTCTCTCTCTCTCTCAGTGTCCGTTTTTATCTGTTAAATCCACTTTTGATTAATTAAGTTTCAACTATGACTTTTTTTTACTGCAAATATCCTTATGTTAGTATAATTTGCTTTAAATTACTGGTAGTTTAAAATTACTGGTAGTTTAAAATTACTGGTAGTTTAAATTGCTTGGAGTATAATTTTTTTGTATTGAAAAATTTTGAAGTAAGTGATCTTACTTGATGGTCAAAGTAGAACCATACGAGGCCCTGCTGGGATTATTATCAATGGTTTCTTACTACAAACATATTTTTTTTAAGTGTACAATGTTGAGGACTCTTAAATGATAGGGAAGGTGGGTATATGATTTCTGAGGTATAAAAATTGCTAATGAGTCAGGAAATCCTGAAACAAGGTCTCTGACCCTAGGCTTGAGAAATCTTGAAGGTTTCTGAACCTCCCTGTTTGGCTTACCTCTCCATGTTCTGTAATTTTGTTTTTCATAATTAGTTATTTGTATCATTTTAATTTGTCGGTTTATTCCTATTACCAACTTACTATTCTTGTTCCATGTTTTTCCTTCTCATTTTACTTGAAATCTATGCTCTTTTTTTCACATGTAAATGCATATTTTTCCTTGGCATCGTTAACGCAATATTTTGTGTTGTCTCTTTCTTTTTGGCCGCTTGGCAAATTGATTCGATAATATTCTTAAATCTTAACTGAATTCTTTCTGCATTTAGAAGCTTGATTTTATTTTCTTAAATTTGTTTTCTAACAACCTTCCATTCTTTGTTTGCTCCCTACATAATCAAATGCCGTTTATTTTTATATGATATTGTGGATTTTTTTAATTCTTCTTTTTCCTTTGCTTGCATATAGTTTTGGGATAATTTGTTGTTTATACATTTTCCCCTTTCCTTGCTTTGTTTGTCAAACCTGTCATTCTATAATTCTTTAGGGGCCTATTATTGCTTGTAAATGATGGGTTGTCCTGACTACTTGATGTGTATTGTGTATAAATTTGTATTTAATTGTCTGTGAAGATGGCAACTTATGTGCCGTAACCTATTTTTGTTTAGTGGTTTTGTTATTCTGTTTTATTTACTTTAAAATCTCACATGAAAAATGCTTCTTTACTAAAGTGAACAATTCTGATTCGTACACAACTTTTTGGATATTTCTGAATTGTTGAGTCTTGCATCTGTTAGTAGCTTATATTTCCAAAATGCAAAACTTTTATGTGTTTTTGTTTGTGGATTTAGGTACTTCTTCAAACACTGCATTTACACTTTATTTAGCAAAATATCTTAGTCAAATGGATGTGCTTGTATACTAATAATTAGTAGATACCTCTGTTGATTAAGAGAAAATGATTAAGTTTCTGTTGATTATCTTTTCTGCTATTTAACTTGCAAACGGTTTCTTTGTGTCCTTATTTAGCATTAAATTAGATGGACACCGGGCTCTTCATGATGGAATTAGGTATTAAATTTATCGACATATAATAAAGCAAATAATGGCCTTCTACTACTTTTAAAGTGCTGATTGTAACCTTTTTTATTTCACCTTTCGTTTTAATATATATAACTATCTCTATGAATGGAAATTTTTTTTACAACGGTGTCTGTATTGTGTATATAATAATGTAATGGAAAATTGTGTATTTGTAGTTATTGCATGTTTTATATTGTAATTGAAGATTGTTCATTTATTATTTGGCTACACTGGTGCAGTATGCCCCAACCTATGAATTGTACAAAAACCTTTGCCCCATACTTTTGCCTTCAGGGATAATTATATGGAAAAAGCTTGTCTGGCATATAGGTGCATAGATAGACACAGATGTTGATGTTCCTGTAAGTGAAAAAAGTTAGCTTAAAATGGGAGGGCTAATGATAAAAGAAAAAAAAACTATGATATACTTTTGGAAAATATGGTAATTGCTGCTAATATTTAACCGTATAAAGTGGATTTTTGCAGTACCACTCAAGAATGCTTCTGCCATCTGATTAACAAAACTACGTGTTTAGTTATGTAGGAAGCAGAATCGGCCATCCTTGAAGCATTATCAAGATCAAAGCCTGGAAGCGTATGACCCTGGATACTAGATTTTGCACTAACAGTAGCTATGTGATCTCTGTATTACCTACTATAAATGTATATCAGCTCTTGATGCTTTATATCTCACGTGGATGGTGTTATCATGATATTTTTGTTTGGTTTGAAATCTTGTACAACTTGGTCAGTTATTTTGTACCAAGAGTTTCCATTCCTTTTGCTACTGATGTATTCAGAGGATAGAATTGTGGCCTATATTAATAATCCTCCTCCTTTTTTGGTCAAATGCAATTTATCCCACTAAAGGTGATATGTAAGCAGAGTTTCTTTTCATCGGATTTCTTGAAGTTACAGGCTAATGAAAACCTTTTTGGTTATTGTACTACACAGTAATGTGT